GCAGCTCACTGTTTATATCCTTTTTGGTTGTGTAATCAAGAGAACGACAGAATTTTGTTTCTCCCAATAATGCATGTTGTTGCACTTGCAGCGAGATGAGCTGTGACTACAAAAATTTACAAATGCTTATAGGGGGTTACATTTTAAGACATGCCTGATCACATTCACCCTATAACTCTCTATAAGACCGTAATTGTGCTGGAGTTAGTGTGGCATTGCAGGCTAGTGTGACCGTGTTCCAATGCAGGACCTAAATATTGCACTGTGTTGATAATTGCTAAGAATTTTAGGAGAGGATTGTTAAAGATACAGGTTTTTACGAACCGTGTGGCCAAAATAGTTTTACTGGCGACCCAGCCCGTAGCTGGGTTCCGGACATGTCCAGACATAGACTTGATTCCTGAACCCCCGGCTGGAGTCACCATACCTGTGGTTGCCTAATGTTACTTAAGAGAACACTTATGTTTTAGACGGTTGCACTGTGGACCTCTTTTAGTCTTTGGTGGATTCGATCCCTTAGTAGGGAGAAGAGAGTGAGCTTACTAGAGGTCACAGGGACTAGGGCTGTGGTGGTGAACACTTATGCTTAAAGAGATGTCTGTACAGGCTAGCCATTCCCTTTTAAAATCAAAATCATTGGTCTGTGCACATGAGTGGAACTGGAATTTGCAAAAAGAAAGTCTCATCCCAAGAATTCTCTACTGTGAACCTGTTACCAAACGTTTTGTAAACTGAAAGTTCTGTTTAATTAAGAATATAGTAACAGGGGGGTTTGTCGGGTTTAGTCCTTAAATAGTTTGGTTCTTTCATGTTGAAGTGTTGCCTTCCAATCCAGTCCATAGGCTGGTAGCTGTGATTAGAATATGATACTAGAAACTTTGTGATCCATTCTTAACTATTTAGGTTTCCTTCTGACCCTGAGGGTTGCTATTGCAGTCCAGTTCATAGGCTACATTTTGGGTTGCTCTGATTTAGTTTAATAGAGAGTCCCACATGGACCACAGTCCTTGTATTCTGATGATGCCTCTTAAATGGCTTTAGTTTGAACAGAAGTTGGGAAGGGCTTCCGCCTAGGGTTATTAGCTTATAGAAAAACTCATATATATTGTGCTTTTTTTTTTTTTTTTGTGGGTGAGTTTTAAGTTCGAGAATCAGTAGTGATGAGATTGCTTATCTTATTTCTTTCTAACCCTATTAAAGAGATTAATCTTGTAGGGCAGTGTAAAAAATCTTACGTGTATACAAATGAATCCAACAATCTTTATGTTTTTTGGTTGGTTGGGAGGGGGAAGGTGGGGGGGTTGTTGGGTTGTGGGATTTGAAGATTGAAATAAGAAGTTTCTTTGAAAGCAGAAGCAGCCAGAAGAGCGTTCTTTTAAGACTTTGAAGGTCTTTATCTTCTGTTACTCCATCTTGGCAGACCCGTCAAAACGTATTCGCAAGTTATACACAAACTTGACTCAATACAAGTCTAAATATAAACAATTGTGAATGGGTCCTCCACCTAATAAAGAGTTTCAACGTGCACTGTATGCACATTGTCCTACAAATAGAAAGACGACTAGCTAGCATGGTGACAAAGATTAAACCATGTGCTGGATTCAAATACTAAGCTGACTTTCAAGGCGTTCCTGACCCACTTTGTAAGGGTTGTATGGGTCATATGTCGGCGACTATAATAACAGTGAATGTCCATGATCTTACCTTCTACTTTCTTTGTTTGTGCTTTGCCCTTACACCATTCCATAGTTTTGCAGTTGTTGAAATAAGGGAAACTACTCTGCACTTTCATCGTCCCGTCAGTGTGTCATTGCCCAGGACACTCAACAATGAGAATATAAAACGACCGAGACCAAGAGATTTCTCACTTGAGAAATATTGAATTGCTTGTATCTTCTAGATATAATAATGAGTCTGAATTTTCTAATGCCAACAATGTTCGACATTTAGGAACCATGGTTCAAGGTGGTAGTATTAATTATTTGACCTAAGGGGCTCTAAGACGCATTAGTTACGATATTGTAGACTGGTACAACCAAAAATTTTTTTTGGATACGATAAAGAGATTCATGCTGAAATGTGGGATTGCGGAATGATATTAACCGATTCGATGATAATAACTCGTTGAATCGAGTTTACTCGAAGACATCTCAAACAACGTGACTGAGTCATGTGACATATATATGTAAAGTGAAATAGTATTGGATCTTAAGATGCCTATAACGATACGATTTGACTAACTCATATTATTAGTATTGGTTGATATTTTGACCTATGTTATGAACTCTTAGATCAACTTCTAGTTATTAGAGATATGAGACTACAAATTTCTATTTTGTGTTTTGTTTTATTATAAGTTCCTAATTTGATCAGTTAATTACTCAAAGACCCATTATTTATCAGTTAACAAATCACTTATAGAAGTAATTAATTCAGTATACAACCAAGGCATAAGGGGCTGTCATTTGATTGGCAGTGGAAAAGAATGTTAATTAATTGCAAGAATCAACCTCTAAAAAGAAACCATTCATGTAACTGTGTGTTACTTTTATTTTTTTAACGTGCAGAGTGTTCGGACTAGTTTACGTGTACTTAAATTAATCTTATTTTCAGTTTGGTTAAAGACAAATCATCCACACTAGAACTAGGATATTCATGAAAAATAAATCTCTCATGACTTGATCCCAAGAAATTTTGAACTCTTGACATTTGATTCTACAGTTAATTTCTGTTACCATTTGTGTTATTTATTGGGGTTGATATGTGTGTTTCTTTTACCTTATCGGTGCATCGACACAAACTATAGTAGATCTACGGATCAAATTAACCCGATAAGGTAGTTCGAATGATAGGATTTTAGTTATAACATCTCTAGATTCTAAATTTGAATTTCACAAAATATGTATGGGAAAAATAAGGACCAAATTTGTCCAAATAGGTCACTGCGATGCATTGTTGGCAACTTTTTAGTATATTTTGTTTATAAGTTTTTTGGATTGGCAATTTCATGAGTAGGATTTTCCATTTGTTGCACCTGAAATAATGGAGTACTCTTGGTTATCAAGGATATGAATTTTATTATCTGTTTCCTTACCCATAAGACTAAGATAGTCTGCTGAAGAACAATTTTCACCGACTATGACATTTCAACGAACAGATGGAGTGCGATTAATTTTGATGATGAAGCATCAACAACCACGTCCATTTGAATAGCCATCACCGCGGGACCTCACTCAACCCTTAGCCATCTGTTTCAGCATTCATTCCCAATCAATTCTCTCTATTGACTATCCAAGTTTGAAACTGAGGGGTACTCTTTCCCGTACAACCACCACTATTGGGATTCTATCATTCTACACATTCTCTTTTTCTCAATTTTCTGAATTATATGTCATTTTCCACGCCTAATTTTATCATAGATACAAACAGATTGTTTTTACGACTCAAATCTTAACAATTTTACCATTGCAAAGAAGGATTTAGTGCACAAGCTTTTAGTTTCCCACTCCTTCCCCACTTCAAAAGCTAAAACCACAAACTTTTTTTTTTTGGTTAGTCACTATTACACAAAAGAGATGATGAAATTCAAACTTATTATTTTAAGGTCTAATAGGGGAGCCATTGATTATTATGTCAAACACTAACTTCAATAATCTATAAAGGTGGGTGAGTTACTGACCATAGTTTCTGGTAATTCAGATTTGTCTGGTTCAATATTTCTCATATTTTTTAAAGGTTAGTAACATTTGTTCTTCGTACCACATGTTCTAAACCTGTTTATACTATGATGACTAAATATTCGAATTTGTAAAAGTAATTACATAAGATTGCAAAAAAAAAAAATTGAACCAATAGTATGCTTCTCCTCGTAACTTGAGCCTAAAGCATGAGAGAGAAAGGATAGGTGTCCCCATGCCAAAAGTCTAGAAAAACAACAAAATTTGCAGTCTAGAACCTCAGTCTGAATCCAACACACTTCCCTTTGAAAATACCCAAGTGGCCCTGCAGTCCGGCCAGCCGTCCAACTGTGCCCCTCCCATTCATTTATTAGAATAATATTACTGATAAATAATGAAATAAATAAAAAGAATCAAATTAATACAATGTTGGTATGGAGAAATTCCTTTATCTTATTTTTATTCATTTAAAATTTAAATTTTACTCACTTTGACGATAATTCATAATTAAGATTTTATTTTTGGTTCATTATTGTGGTCAGTATAACATTACCCTGTTTACTAATAATGTGTTTTTAAACATCAAACTTAAAACTTCATGGTTAATCTCATGTTGAACGTTCTCGACCAAACAAAATCTTTAAGATTGACAATTTCAGATACAATGTATAAATACAATTCAAAATTAACGAGTTAGAATTGACAAATTTTCAACACGAATTTATAAATTTTATTTACATGAATAATAAATGAGTTGAGTTAGTGTCAAACATGAATAATACAAATTTTTTCATATGATCAACACCTTTAACTAATGTAATTGGAATAAAATGCCAAAATTTTGTTATTTTTTTTTCAAGTATCGGCATAATCTTTTTGTAAAAAGAGGATTTATTTATTATTTTTATTAAATTAATTTTTAGTTTGAGAAAAAATATGAGTGTAAGTTTGATTTGATGATAATGAAGTATTAAACTTAAATCTTAATATTAAATTTTTTATTTATAAGTCAACACAAATATAATACGAAAATAAATAAATCGAGCCAACACTATGTAATTAATTAAATATAGATTGACTAATACTTGGCATAAAATTATAAAAAAAATTGTTATTTAAATTTAAAAATTTAACTAATTTATTGATCTAATAATATAATTTTATTAAAAGTCACCATTACCACCGCACCAAAAAAAAAAAAGAGCCTTCTAACTCAATTAAACTCTCTCTCTCTCTCTCTCTCTCTCTCTCTCTCTCTCTCTCTCTCTCACTATAAAAACCCATTGTCTTCTCCCATTTCCAAATCTAACAGTGTGCCACAGCATGTCAAAACGATTCCTCTCTCTCCTCCTTTCCTACCTTGTAATTGTATGCCTCCTTTTAACCATCACAATCGCCAACACCGCAACTGCCATTGCCATACCCACTGCCACAATCTCACAGCCATTCAGACAAGCCCCAAAATTCTACAACTCCCCACAATGCCCTTCCCTCACCGACACAGACGCAGAAACCAACAATGGCGACACCGACGACACCTTCTGCTCTGACAACGCCATCCACGTTGCGATGACCCTCGACACCGCCTACATCCGCGGCTCCATGGCGGCGATCCTCTCCGTTCTTCACCACTCTTCCTGCCCTCAAAACATCGTCTTCCACTTCGTCATTTCCGCTTCCGCCAACGCATCAATCCTACACGCCACCATCGCCACCTCCTTCCCGTACCTCAACTTTCACCTCTACACCTTGGACGACACCGCCGTCGCCGNTGTGTCAAGTTTGTGGATTTAATCAGGTTCATATCAAGCTATTTATTTGACGGGTCAACCAAACACACTAATTCTGTGTAAATTTCGTATCAGTTTTGCGAATGGTGTCTGAAATTGTCAGATTTAGACCGAAATGTACTGATGCTAATGGTTTAGATTGGATGTCAACAATGTACCTGGAAGCTCAATCAACCAGTATCAGAAAAAAATATTGTCAGTTGTACAAGCCTTTAAAAGGTTCATTTTTACTGTTAGATTCTGTTGTGGCCTTATTTCTGGAGAAGAATTGGTAATATCTTTACAAAAAAAAAAATGACTGTAGAGCGAAGTTGCACCTGTCACGGGCTTCGCATGAGGCAGGTGTGGCCATGCAAGGTGCTGATTCGAGCAAACGGATTCCTATAGCTTAGCCAAGTAGATAAAATTATGGCTTGCTGAGTTGCAATACAGAAATACAATCTGGTGAGCATGCCAAACACCGTCTATTTGATGGACAAATATGTCTGTCCGATGAGAATGTAATTTGTACAGAAGCAGCAGAGCAAGGACCTGCGAGAAGAATACAACTGTGTGAAAATTCAGGGCAGTTTAATGAAACAATAGAAGTGCAATCCCCAGTGTAAAACCACAGGTAGTCCCAAGGAACATGACTCAGCTAAGATTGAAATTCGTTTATATTGCAAGGCTAAGTAAACCAGCGACTAAGGGTGACAAACAAAACTGGAAGGGTGTTCCCATGAACTCAGCCAATAGTCCCATTGATGATCAACTGATTTCCACCATACAGCANTCAGCTAAGATTGAAATTCGTTTATATTGCAAGGCTAAGTAAACCAGCGACTAAGGGGTGACAAATAAAACTGGAAGGGTGTTCCCATGAACTCAGCCAATAGTCCCATTGATGATCAACTGATTTCCACCATAAAGCGCATATAAGAATTCGAAGTGCTACATAACTCTCTGAAGAGAGGGAGGGGAAAAATCTTTCTCAAGGAATGGGTCATCTATAATTCTTTCTTTTTGATGTGCAAGTAAATCCACCAAAACTTCCAAAAAAAAAAGAAGGGGGGGGGGGGGGGGGGG